ATGGTTTGTCATCCAAAAAACAACTACCTACTTTAATATATTTTTTTAAACTTTCCTGTACAAGTAATATTGTCAGGTCTTGGTGATGAATACATTCCTTCTATTCAGGGCAGATTATAAAGAATTCTGTCCGAAGGCTGAAGATTCTGGAAAATAATTTCTACTCTCTTCTCAAAGATTGCATTTTTTTTGCAGGGTTAGGACAAAGTTGCTCGCAGGTATAAATCTGTAATAGACCAAGTTAGCATTGTTCAGTAGTATCATGAAGAAAAGCTCTAAATTTGTAGTCAGTACAAAAGGCTAGGGTCAGAATTCTGCTTTTGCCACTTACTGGGTGCATGGCAATGGACCTCTCTGAGTCTCAGGCTTCCTACCTGTAAAAAAGGGGCATGATCATGCCTGTAGTCCTGTACCTACTTCACAACGTTGTTGTGGATCAAAGAGATGATATATATATATATATATATATATATATATATATATATAAAGCATTCTATAAAGTACTAAATAAAAATACTATACATACATCAACTATTACTGTGTCCTAAAACAATTTTCTGCTGCATAAACTTGAGAGGGGAGCAGTCCTGCCATGGGCTGATCAGGGTTTCACTACCCATTCCTTTCTTGTAAGGGGCCACGCAATACTTGCATACATATCCAGAAAGGCAAAATGTTTAGGTTATTCTATGGGTCACCAGACAAAATGTCCAATATGGGTTGGGTGAACCAAGTATGGTGGAGGAAAAGGCACCAGGAAGTCCAAAGTTTCAATAGGTTGGTGTTGAGTTAATCCTAGAACCAATAAATCAACAAGCATTTAAGAGCCTGCTCTCTACCAGCCACTGTGCTAGGTGCTGGAGATAAAAAGGCAAAAATAAAACAGTGCCTGCCCTCAAAGAGCTTACATTCTAATCAATCAACGCATTTATGAAGTGCCCATTATATGGTAGGGAATGGAGGTGCAAATACAAAATTAAGACAACCCTTGCCCTCAAGTGGGAATAGAAATTCCTACATTGGAAAGGAACCTTCTAAGAGAAGATAGCAAGAGGATAATTTCAGAAAAACCTGGAAGGAGTTACATGAACTGATGCACAGTGAAGCGAGCAGAACAAGAACATTTTATACAGTAACAGTAACATTGTGCAATGACCAACTTTGATAGACTTGGCTCTTTTAAACAATACAATGATCCAACACAATTCCAAAGGACTCAGGATGAAAAATGCTATCATACATCTCCAGAAAAAGAACTGATGGAGTCTGGATACAGACTGAAGCATTCGTTCTTTGTTTCTTTCTTTCTCTCCTTCCCTCCTTCCTTTTCTTTTCTTTTTTTCAATTTTTCTTCCATAAAATGATTAATATGGAAATATATTTTACATGATTGCATAAATATAACCTATATCAGATTTCTTACTGTCTCAAGGATGGGGAGAGGAAGGAGGGAGGGATAGAATTTGGAACTTAAAGCTTTAAAAAAAATGAATGTTAAAATTGTTTTTATGTGTAATTGAGGAAAAATGAAATATTATTTGAAATTTTTAAAAAGATAGCAAGGTTCAGATAATGGAGAGTGTGGTGGGACAGACTATAGGAATGTGAGTGGAGGCCATCTGACAAATGAAAATGTGATCAAAGCAACTCTATGTGGAATATTCAATTCTCCATTAAACGGAGAGTATTATGATTAATTCACTGAACCACAAGTGTTGAAGAAGCTAATGATTTTAGATTATTTCACTTACAGTGAAAGGAACCATACACAAAAGAAATGCTAAATGCAACCAGCTCACTTTGCTCCTTGAAAGAATGATTTCAAGAAGGATTGTGTAACTTAAATGACTTCTGCTACAATCCATAGGAAGGCTGATACTTAAATCTTATCTGAACACAAAGTAGTTTGCAAGACTACTGATAGACATTGTGTATTCCACCTGGGTTCTTTACTGTCTCCCTCAAAGTCCCTAACTTCCCGTACACCCAATCAGAGCTTTGGAGCTCCATTTGTCAGTGGCTTTCTCCAACGAAGACACTCTCAGTGCCACCATTCAGGACCCAGGATTTCTAGATCTCTCACACTCTCAAAGTCCCTCCCCTGCTATCCTAGGCACATCAGTCTTGAGGCTGATGCTCTGTCATCTACTCAGGAAAGGAAACACAAAGTGGAAAAGGCAACCCAGGGTCGAGGCCCACGTGCACCTTTTGGAGTCCTATGCTAGCTGCCACGTGAAAGCAGCCCCCACAATGGCAGAATGGTGGAGGATTGGCTCATCCTACATTCCTCACTGGAAGTCTTAGAGTTGCAAGATGCCACCTGGAGGGCTGAACAAATAGAGAACAGGCTCCTTTTGACTGATACAGTATTCCATCCTGCTGCTACTGGACAGATTGAATGGATGACCAGGGTTTTCAGCATCATTCTAAAGAGACAAATCCTTTCTACACTAGGCTAACACCTGACCAAATGTGGCTGGAAGTTCATCATGCCCAAAGGCCCAAGGATGAAGTCACCATGTCTCCAGAGTTCCCAGAAGTTTCCAGGGGATCTCTAAGTACATGGTCCTTGGGATGAACCCCATAGGCCAACTATAATAGTATTCTGCCCTGATCAGATCCCTATATTTGGGGTATTGTGTTCAGTTTTGACACTATATTCTAGAAATAATAATAGCTAGCATTTATATAGTGCTAATAAGATTTTCAAAGTACTTTACAAGTATTAATTCATTTGATCCTCAGTACAACTCTGCCGGGTAGGTGCTATTATTTTCACCCCAATTTTAAATAAAAGGAAGCTGAGACAAATAGAAGTTGTAACTTGCCCGTGGTCGTGCAGCTAATAAATATCTAAGATTGGATTTGAACTTAGGTCTTCCTGACCCTCAGCATTCTATACAATTCTTCTAGAAAAAAAAAGTGAGTAGGATGGTGAGAGGATGATTAGAGGATCTCAGATAAAGATTGGTTAAGTAAACTGGGGTTGTTTAGCTTGGAGAGGAGAGCCATGATAGCCGCCTTAAAATACATGAAGGCTTGCTTTGTGGAAGATGGATTAGTCTTGGCTTTCTCGGCCCCAAAGGGTCAGTGTTTTGCAGAGAGTCAGAGTTCGGTTTGATGTAAGGAAAAAGCTTTGTAGTAATTTGAGCTGTGCCAAAAGAGAATGACACCTTTGAAGGGCATCATTCTCGCCGTGAGTCATAACTCACACTTCCTAGCACTTTCAAGTTTGCAGAGTTTGCTCTTCACAACAAAGTCGTGGGAGGCAGGTTGCACAACTACGATCACGGCTTTAAAGATGAGAAAAATAAGGTTTGCCTATGATCTCACAACTAGTAAGCACCAGAGGAATCCTTCAAACCCAGGTCAAAAAACCATCAATTGGTTCCTTCCCCATTGGCTTATCATGTATGTAAAACACAATCTCTTCATCCTGGAATTGATGACCCTCCATGATCCGGCGCTATTCTTCCTTTCCTACCTCACTCTATTCCATTTCAGGCATTCAATATTTTAGCTCAGTAGGGAGAGGAGAAGAGGAATAAACATTTAGAGAACACCTACCATGTGCCAGAGCCACCAAGAGGTGGATCACCTCGTATTGGTGAAGTTTGTCCTTGATTCCCCTTGCTCAAACTTCTCATCACACTTTGTCTGGACTTCTCCACCTCTTCCCCAGTCTTTTAATTATGAGCACTGTCAGGGCAAGCATATTTTTGTGCTCAGCCCTTCATATAGTCCTTGCCCATATTAGGTATTTAATCAATGTTTGTAGATTTGAATTATTTAATTGAATTGAATTATTTGTGTCTGTGATTAATGGTGGGCAGTTAGGTGGCATGGTGGATAGAGGGCCAAGCCTAGAGTCTAGAAGATTCATCTTCTTGAGTTCCAATCTGACCTCAGATTGGTCTGAGTGACTAGCCGTGTGACCCTGAGCAAGCACTTAACCCCATTTGCCTCAGTTTTCTCATTTGTAAAATGAGCTGGAGAAGGAAATGGCAAACCATTCCAATATCTTTGCCAGGAAAACCCCAAATGGAGTCACAAGAAGTCAGACACGACTGAAACAACACAAAACAATAACAACACGCTCAACGGTCCTTTTGGAGGTTGGAATTTTTAAGTTATTAATAAACGACTAAATGAGAAAGCATTCAATAAGCAATGACTACTTGTCAAATACTGTGCTAAGTAAGCCCCCTCCCCCAATAAAAATACACACAAAGACAGTCTCTGCCCTCAGGGAGCTTACATCCTAACGGGAGAAACAATCCACATAGAGAAGAGGATGAGAAAGAATGGAATGGCTGAGATGATTGGGTCATTGTTTCGGTTTCACAACTGGAGAAAAGTTGGGAGTTATAAGGGGAGGTTGGTAAGGAAAGGCCTTTGGTGGGGCTGTGGAGGAGATGGCTAGAGAGATGAGAAGAAGTGAAACATGGTGGGGACTTGCTGAAATGATGGTCTGGCCATCGTCGTTCAGGAGGGCAGTATACTAATCTGGGCTGCCCTAATTCAGTGCAACAAAAAAGACAAGCAAGAAAGCATTTCTATTATACAATGTCTTCTTGCATTAAATGACTCTAATCCCATTATGTGGCTAATCCCCCAGAGCACCTGGACATAGACATATTCAGAACCACATCAGCCATTTCTGACCTTACAGTTAAATGGGAATGTATCAAGGCAGCACTAGACTGACATATTTGTTGGAATGAAACTATCAAGCCTCACCCACATGGTCATGTATATGCAGGAACCCCAAAGCATTGATACCTGTTACTTTAATATCTGCCTTCATTTGTTGCCGGTAAGTAGATCCATAGAAACATTCAGTCACTTGCTTTTGTTTGGGCTCTAGTCAGTAAGGCGTAATAAGGTAGGTTGCATCAGAGGCACCATTTAGAAAACATCTGCCTGTATTTACTAAATTATTATCCTCAAGAAGAAGATTTTAAATGAAAACTGATTAATGTCAATCATTATCTTTCTAGGCTAAATCTGAACAATGGCTCCAAGACTCAAGAAAGAAAAGTTAGGTATCAAACCCAAGTCGGCGAAACAGAAGATAACTTGTAAGTACGAGTCTTCATTAAAAAAAAATTCTTATGGATTCAATTTCTTATACATGTATTGGAAAGCAAAATGGATGTGTCCTTATCTATATAATACGAGGAATTACGGTTGTTTCACAATATTAAACACGTGAGATATTTAAATTTATGGAGAGTTATTTTTGAGTGTTCCAATGAAATTAGAAACTCTCTCCATGGAAAAATAAGCTAACTTCTAGTTTTGTACTACTTAATTTTTTTTTTTTGGCTAGGAAATGGGGTTAAGTGATTTGCCCAGGGTCACACAGCTTGTCTTACTTAATATTAATTAACTCACGAATTTTTTTTTTTTTTAGGCAATTGGGGTTAAGTGACTTGCCCAGGGTAACACACCTAGTAAGTGTCAAGTGTTTGGTCTGAGGTTGGATTTGAACTCAGGTCCTCCTGACTCCAGGGCTGGTGCTCTATCCACTATGCCACTTAGCTGCCCCTCATGAATGATTTTTTAAAAAAAATAATGTGACCAGGGGAGTTATTAGAACCTTTTTTAATGCTTCAATTTATTTTATAAGCTATATGTATGAGCTTATGTGTTATTTTATCCTAAAGTTTTACTTAAAATTACATAATACAAGATATACTTTTTATCCAAAAAGGTGAATTTGACATAATTTCATTGCATTTTAGATGAAGAAGCAGTCCCAGTTTCTATGGAAAGTATTGGTAAGTTGCATTACTACTTAAATTTTATTCATGGTTTTTCAATACTTTGTCATGGAATAAAGAGGAAAGATCATTGAGAATTAAAGTGATTCATAAATATATTTGTGGATAAAATGGTATCACACATAAACTATAAGGTAGAACTTTAAAGGATGGAATTTAAAAAAGGCTAGAAAAGTGAATTCCAGAACAGAAACAGACAGACTTAATTTACCAGTTCCAGTACAATGTTTTTCAAACCCTGGTCCATGGCCCAGCAACTCTCTCTTCAGTTGAAGACAATCAAGTGATATCATCTGATCAAATTTCCTATCGACTCTCATCTGTTTTTCCCATTCTCATCTCTTTCTAAGCCCTCGTCTTCCCGAGTTCATTAAGTTGCTCAAGGCAGATGCTGTTCTAGGAAAAGTTGTGAATTATATCATGTAACTACAAAGGAAAACAAATATACCAGAACCAAGACGTTCAAATGTCTTGTCAAAAGTGGGTTGTCTTCAAATCTTCTTGGAGATGGTGAACTTACTCCTTGGATGCTGCTCTGACTCAAAACACAAGTTCTCTTTTGGACCTATTTTCAGGAGGCTGAGGCACATCCTTCTGAATTTCCTCAGTGGTGACAAATGTCCATCTTTTGAGGATGGATTTGATTTTTGTAAGAACCAGAAATCATTTGGAGCCAAGTTGGGTGAATAAGCTGGGTGATCCAGTTGGACAAGTATTTTTGGTAAAAGATGATTTATGTCTGTTGAGTAATGGGACTGATTTTTAAAAATTGTAGCTCATAAATAAGCTTTAAGGTACCATTTTGGTCCAGTACCTCTCAAGGTGACTGTCTTGAAAGACAACACTGTTTTGCTATACTAGAGAATCAAAGCTATTAAATGTTAAGAGTTGAAAAGGATCATTTCATTCATGTAGGTCAACTATCACCCAGTTTAGGAAGACCTTCATCCAAGACAGATCATTGAACCACAAGAGTTCAAAAGAATCTCAAAATCATCTAGTCAACCCATCTCTTAGCAGGCATCTCATCCATAACATCCCCAGCAAGTGGTCATCTAGCTTCTACTTGGGGCGGGGGAAGCCCAGTACTTTTGTCAGCAGCACCATGCCATTTTTAGATAGCTCTAATTGCTCAGAAGTTGGGTTTTTTCTTATAGTACATTTACTTCTTTTCTGATCACCTCTAATGATCATCCATCCTTTGACTAAATACTTTCAGTGATGGGGAGCTAGCTACTTAATGATGCATCCTGTTTTAGTGAGTGAAATACCTCTATTTGTTTAAAAAATTTTTTTTTCTGTGCTCCCACCCCCAGAATTCACACAAGCCAGGATTGATCAAAACATCACCTCCTTTGCCCATATTGCCCCCACCCAGAGATGAACATAGTTATTGTATAAATTCTCATAAATGTGGGCAGGAAGAGAAGTATAAACACTCAAGGAAACAAATGCATTTGCCACGTGCAACATAATGCAGAAAATGCAGACCACACCAGAGGCTCACGGGAGCCTGTGAACAACCTAGAAAATGCATGAAAGACTCTTGGCAGCTCGTGAACAATCAGTGTAATTTTTTTTCCCTTTTCAGTTCCAGTTTTCCACAAGGTTCTCAGGTCCTTCAGGTTTAGTTCTACCACCATGTTTTAGACACAGCCCTTTAGGAAGGGAAGTGAACTTGGGGTTACAAGTGGAGGACAACCGTCTTGCCATTCTGCTTCAAAGATCCTATCCAACCACTTCCCAAACAAACACAAAGGTCTGGACTCCTGCCCTTGAGACTGCTGACCAGGCAATACCTTGACATTCGAGTGACTTTCTCTTTCATTCCACAGAGACCTCACCTGGAAAGGGAACATACTTGTAGATGGTGGGCCAGCAACCTCCTTTCCACTAAACCATCTAAATAGTTCATTGTAATAATGTAGTTTGATGTCCCGGTTCCTTGATTTTCCGTACTATTGCCTTAATCCCTTTCTGCTCCTTCCCCAAGTCCCAGGCAGTCACATGTACTATTCCCTCCTTTCTTCAAGAGGTATACTGCTCAGAAAATAAGGTCAAGCCCCAGATCCTCAAAACTGAGCTTACCTGGGGACAACCCTCAAGGCTAGTACTGCCCAGAAAATCCCTAGGCTCTCACTAGAAGACTGGACTCTGAGATTTCACTGCCTAAATCAAAGGGTCAAAATGGCATAGACTACAAAATTTTCTCTTAAGTTAGGCAGGAAAGCAAATGTCTTCCTTGTCAGGTACTTTTCAAGAACCACCATTAATGGTGCTTGAGATGGGGGCCCTATCCTTACTCCTTCCCAACACACCTCCGAATTTAGGAATACCTTTACTTTTGGCTCTTCAGATACTAACGTTCAGGCTTATATTGACTCAAGCTCTAACTGGAGAGCTGATTGTTAAATTTTTCAGTGTAAGCATTTACACGTCTAAAATTGGCCAAAGCGTGATCTATTGTTTTGTTTACTGTTTCTCGACATAAGAAAGTGATGGAGCAAATGTTAATAATGAGGATTAAATTTATGTGGTACGCCTTCTCCTCACTTCTATACCTGTGGCCACACCCCTCTAGATAAAAAGGGCTAGAGCCCTTTCTTCTCAGGCCCTCCACACCCCCTGCTCTGGCATGTTGTGAGCCCCATTTTGTACACATGGGATTATATTCAGTTACCCGTTCACAGAGCAGGAAAAAAAATTCATTACTTTCTAGTCATAATTCAACAATGTGTTCAATAATAATAGATAGCATTTATACAGCACTTTCAGGTTTGCCAAGCACTTTATATATCTTATCTCATTTGATATTTACAACTGTCATGGGGAGTAGGTGTTATTATTATCTTCATTTTACAGATGAAGAAACTGAGGCTCAGGTTAAATGACTTGCCTAGGATTGCACAAGGCAGTTAGGTGGCCAGTGGATAGAGTCAGGAAGACTGAGTTCAAATCTGGCCTCAGACACTTATTAGCTGTGTGACCCTGGGCAAGTTACTTAACCCTGTTTGTCTCAGTTTCCTCATCTGTAAAATGAGCTGGAGAAGGAAATGGCAAACCACTCCTGTATCTTTGCCAAGAAAACCTCAAATGGGGTCATGAAGAGTCAGACCCGATTGAAAAAACAACTAAATAACAATAAAGCTAGTAAGTATCTAAGATCAGATTCAAACCCAGTCCACTGTGGTATAGCCCTTCTTTGCTCCCCCCCCATCCCCGCCCCCACCACACACTGATTCCTGCCTTCCTTTCCTTTCTCTCTTAAGTACCACGTGTGTTATGCGCGGCCTCCTTGTCCTGGGGAATATCAGGTTATATCACTCAGGAATTGTTATTGCTATGATTGAAACAACGGATATTTAAGTCTTTAAATCCCTCAGAGCCCAGAGTGTCAATTAACTCTCTTGGTTTATCTCAAACCTGTGTTTCGTTTGTTAACAGAACAGGTCTAGAGAAGCATTCCTTCCTCACCTTAGCATGCCCTGGCCCTCCTTCAGGCAATGTGGGGAAGCTTTGCTATGCCTCCTCAGAGTCATGTTTGTTACCTACATTCATAACTGAAGGAAATATTAAATGTCAGTTATGAGGCTGCTGAAAATAAATATATGATCTTTTTCCCTTCAAGTTCACAGACCCCACTGGAAGAATTTCGGGTCTAAAAGATAGTCCAAGTAACATGTATATGTTCAATGTGGCTTTTAGTAAACAATGACCTCTTCTTTCTTGGCACATCTGTTTCTTTTTGTTTTATTTCCCATTCTGAACTTAACAAATACCAAAAAGGAGGAAAAAAATATTTCAGTATTGGCTAATCTATTAGTGATGCTGATGGTGAGAATTTCAGGCTAATAAGGGAGACATTGGGAGGCAGATGGGTCTTTAGCATACCTCAAATCCCACTTCATGGGTGGCCACCTACCTTGCCTATAACTAGAGCTGTCCCTGGGTCTATGAGCTACCATATTTCCTTCTTTTCCTATGCTTTTAATGTATCTGTCTTTGAACATGCTTGTTTTTTCCCCTTTTCTGTCTTTCGGTTTTCAGTCTCTTATTTATTTGTCTAAGACCAAATATCATTCAAATCTATTTAGCCAGACCAGCATTAGTTGTGTGTGAGCATCGATGAACAGACTTGGTAAAGCTGGCAGGAACAGTCAACACCTTGTTGTGAAACATCCCGAAGAATAGCCATATTCCTCTGCCCGGAGAAAAAAGTTGTGTTTAAATCAATTGCCACAACATGATTTTAAAATAAAACGAAAGATATATTCTAGAGAAGGGGTTCTTAACCTGTTTTGTGCCATGGACCCTTTCTCAGAATTGTGTTTTTAAAGGCACAAAATAAAAGACATAGGAAACCAAATATATTGAAATACAAGTTATCTTTCTTATCTATGTATTTATCTCTCAATTTATCATCTATCTCTAAGTATGTTTAGCTCTATGTTCCTATGTATCTTTATCTATCTATCTATCTATCTATCTATCTATCTATCTATCTATCTATCTATCTATCTGTCTATCTATAAATCTATAACAAGTTCACAGACCGCAGGTTAAGAACCCTTGAAGAAAAATCATAGGATTCCATGATTTAGAAATTGAAAAAGACCTTAATGATCACCCTCATTTTACCATTTACTGAAGGAGGTATAATTATATGTAAGATGCATATAAATATATACATATGCATATACATACATGTATATTTATATATACATATATATTTTGTGTGTATACCTTAAAATAATTGTAGTGTTGTTGTAATGTTCTTTTGTTTTTGGTTTGTTTTTCGCAAGGCAATTGGGGTTAAATGACTTGCCCAGGGTCACACAGCTAGTATCAAGTGTCTAGTCTGAGACCAGATTTGTACTTAGGTCCTCCTGACTCCAGGGCCAGTGCTCTATCCATTGTACCACCTAGAGGTCACAGTAATGTTCTTTTAATGTTGTAGTGAGAAATCCTTACTAATGGAAACAAATTGGTTATATTTA